TATTTATCTTTTTTATGGAATTGGTCTTGAAGTGTTTAATCTAAAATGATCGGTTTTCGAATTTCCAAAGTACCTATCCATGATCCCTTTCGGTCTCGCATGTAAGGTGTCTCCTTGACCCTCTCGCGGAACGCTGTATCGTTCTTAAGAACAATGACACTTTTCGTCTTTTGTTTTCTTCTATAGGATTACATCTTCCGAGAAATGAAAGCCCATCCCCTTGACAACGATAAATAATTGGAAATTACCAAATGATAATAAATTTAATTTCAACAATAATATTGCCAGTGAATGTTTGTTGGTCCATAGCGACTACCAGTTGGGGGCGTATAAACTACAAAAATAAGCAAGTAGTAATCAAACAAACGCTAGTGCAAAAACACGGGAATCGTGCGAAACATTGAAAGATTTAATGAAATTCGAGGTAGAAATAAGGCTATGAGCAAAAAGATTTTACGTTAAAAAATCGACGAAAATCCAGAGCTTCAGCAGTCACGGTATAACTGGTACCCGTTAGTCAAATCGTCCTGGCTGTCGATTTTGATKATCTTCAAAATACAACCTCACAAGTCTGGAAACAACCGATAAATACAAGAGATATGACCACTTTTGACTGCATTTGATCGATTATAAAACCCCGCGATGAACACAAAGATACACTGGTAAGCCGCTTAAGAATCTTTTTACRAGTAGATCTCAGAAATGGTCGCGTTAGCTTTTAAGATAACTTTAATTACTTTAAACACTGCAGGAATTAAGTAGCAAAATRCCGCCAAGAATTTATATTTTACTAAARATGAAAAATCACGATGAGATCGTCTATATTTGCGGTTGGATGATGTGAAATGGAAATCAGCTGAGGTTTTTGTTAATAATACCTGATATATTTGGTCATTTGCTCTCATCGTCCGACTTCTCTTCAAAGTGAACAATATTATGATTGAGWTTGACAGGAAAACGTTCTATCATGGATAAATTCCAATTTTTTTTGACATTCTTGATTGGATAAGTCAAGCGTAATAAGGAATTTTAGAGATTGAAATGTTCTTGTTAAAAACACTCGGCTGCTTCTCACTGAGATGTCARAAACAGACAAAACTCATTTCAAAACGTCATTATCTATAACCTCTTTAAAGTTTTTGATGTTTCTGATCTGGCAATTGCCTGTATTATAGTGTAGTTTATTTTGGTTGATTTGCGGGTCACGATTAGACCAGGAATTAGAGCTTGTAGGGCGTGATAATTACTCGCATGCTCTAGACATGCTTTACAGCAGGTTGTGCGAGAAATGGTCGAAAACCAAGGTATGTACACCAGCTACACTGTTATCAAAACAAGCCAGAAACTATAGTTTAGTAAGTAGACAATCAAGGAATCATTAGCCTTCATTGACGGATTGATATTAATTGCATCATTGACATTTCATAATTAACGAGAAAGTATWGAAGAGCTCAATCCAATAAGTGTACTCAATTGGGACAGTGTAGAGTCGCAATGATCCTCTGGGTACAAGATTAACGTAGATAACAGCATTAATTGTATGAGGAAGTAGCTGATCCCATTAAAGAGTGCTCAATACACATAAAGTGTAGAGCTAGTTATATATATAATATCAAAGAGGCAAGATTTTGCTGTTACTCCGAGTAACAGCAAAATCTTGCCTCTTTGATATTATATAGATAACAGCATTATATACCCTGGGTAAGGCTTGTACTCTTACTGAACTTCCCTTCTGGACTGGACATAATGATTTGTTGATTGCAAATGTTGCGCGTCGAGTGATAGTCCCAGCATTGTAAGGCGTGGTGGTCTTGTGGTTAGTTCAGTGTAAGTTGGTTTCACAGGTTCACAAAATGGGTCACTGCGTTGTGTTTCTAGTAAGCAATAGTTTATTCTCCGAGTAACTCTCGCCATCGAGGTGTATAGTAGGACATATCAATAGGCATTTGTTGAGGTTACTCTCTCTCGAAATGAATCAGTTTTATCAGATGAACTAACATCTCCTCTTACCTAGAACGCCGCCACGAGGCTCGCACAACTGATGGGATTTCAAACTAGTTACTCAAGAAGACGAGGAAACTATCTCGTTACCATAGCCACCGTGATTTACATACTGTTGATTTACTTGTATTTACGTCATCGAGCAAAGCTCCAAGCGAGACATGAAAACTTTCCAATGTTTGATTACAACGAAGAAGATCTGAGTGAGTTTGTAGATTTCATGAAGCCATGGTGTACTCAGAGTCAAGCGAGACTTGATTGGCAWGCTATGTTGAAACCTTGTCATGATAATACTATATGGGGCRAATCCAAACCATTTTACACGTTTAGAAATCAGACTAGTACTAGTAAGACTTTTATTAATTTGTGGGAAATCAAACCTGCTGGCCAGTTTAGTCGTATTGCGATTCAAAGCGTAGCACATGATGGTCGTAATAAAACATTTGGTGGTGATTCCTGGAGAGTGCATATAAGAGGTGCAACATCAGTATCACCCACTGTMATTGACCATCAAARTGGTACTTATGAARTACTGTTCCTGGCTGTATTTCCTGGACATTACTATATACACATGGTGYTGGAGTATTCATTATGTGATGGTTATAAAGAACCTCCCATTGATTGGTTTATCAGAGGTAAATGACCTTCTCTTTGTTCACTTTTCTACTTTAAAAACGATCAGTGACTGAATTTTCGAGTCCAGGTTTTCGCACTTTGCCTGGTCAATGGTACTCACGCTCAAACTACTACTGATGCCTCCAATTAGGTATATCATGACTATACTTTAGTCAAGCTTGACATTTGTTTCCAGGTAATGCGCARGGCAAGTACCAGCCATTGGATGCTTTACCAGGGTTTGAAAAACCATACTTAATAATTCCTTTATGGAATGGAATTCCAATCAAGATAGCGATAACATCACCACGACGACACATTCTTCATAGTAAGTATGACCAGCTAACAACAACCATCGTGGTTAATGGAGACGGTGTCAAAGTTTTTATGATCTTTTTTTCAGAGCTGGCAGCAGGTTTTCCATCGCTTAATCCAGGATGCAATATTAACTGTCGTTACATTGGTGACGGCGCTGGATATTGGCTGCGAAACAAATGGATTCCTTTTACTAGAGGTGAGCCTAATTCCTGGTTTCCTGATTTGTTTGCTCATTCTTGTTGTAGCTTTTCATGCTTTAACAAGATCCGGTTCACGCCGCATTTGACGAATAATGCGCGTGCGTAAATGACTTGTGTACTGAAGGATCATGAATTTGTAATGTTTTATGGTATATTAAGAACATAGACATAGTTTGAAATATCATCGATGTTTTTTCTTAGTAAATCTAAATGCCATCATGTTTAATGTCTTGTTTTCAGGAGAGCTAAGAAAGCCTCATGAGAGAAAGAAAGGCACTTTGTGGATCTATGGGGACTCCAACGGTGATTTCTTCTACAAGTTGATAAGAACTCGCCCACTATGCAGAGAAACATTCCAGCAATGTAATAGTACATATAACTGGGTTTACAATCTACCTGGCGGTAACCAAACTATAGGCAAACTACTCAACGATGATTTAGATTTTAGCGTTGATAGAATCCTGCAAGAAATCAGTTCAGTACTGAATGATACAACCATGAGAGAAGACAACCAAAGTGTCATCATTCTCAACCTAGGACTTCATTACGTACAGAACATCAACTTTACCAAATATAGAGAATTGATTGATAGGACAATACAATTGTTTAAGGGAGGAGAGGGTGGGGAGGTTGGTGATATAGGAAGGAATTATCAAGGACAGATGATATGGAAAACTACTTCTGCAATGAATCGTGAAAAGTTTGGAGATCCCCGTACAGGAGCGAGGCATTCCAAGACCATTCGGTTCCTTACCTATCAAGTAAGTAGAAATCGGCCATTATTATAGAAA